CACTGCCCAGGTGGCTTAAGGACTTTAATTAGGTTGGATGTACTCAATGAATTTTGCTCCCGCTAACTGTTTTTGTCTGCAACTTTATTCTTCTATTTCGGTGAGACAATGAACTTGGACTCAGATATTCACATTTTGGTTTCATATATACAAAAATAGACACAGCAAAATAAAATATTATAAAGTAAATACCATTATACAGCAAACAGGGCTTTCTCCCAGAAGTCCTCACACCCCTCTTCCCAACCCCTCCTTCCTGCCTGCTTCAAACAACCACTCACCTGATTTCTATTTGACTGAAATGAAGATTGTTAAGGGCTGTATGTAATTTTATACATTAAGTGTTTTCTTTCAGCATTTAAAGAGAGATCATGGTGTCTTCCGGCTTGCCATTGTCTCTATTGTGAAGTTAGTCTTGTTGCTAGAGGGATTTTCTTCCTGTTTATCCTGTATGGCATTCATTGGGCTTCTTTCAAACCATCTTTTTAAAAAAATATATATATTTTATTGATTTTTAACAGAGAGGAAGGGAGAAGGATAGAGTTAGAAACATCAATGAGAGAGAATCATCGATCAGCTGTCTCCTGCACACTCCCTACCGGGGGATATGCCCGCAACCAAAGTAAATGCCCTTGACCAGAATCGAACCTGGGACCTTTCAGTCTGGTGTCTTTCATTAGTTTTGGAAAATTTTGTATTAGATTTGTGGACGAAAGGAGCCACATGCCAACCTGACAAGCTCAGGAAAGGCCTGCGTGGCAGTCCTGCAAACTCAGAGACCTAAAATTGAGAGGGCAGGGCGGAGCGAGGCTAACTCCTGACTCCATTTTGTACTGTGGGGCAGGGCGGAGCTATCCTCCATTTTGTGTAACTGGACCCTAGCCCTCACCCAACCAATCAGGGTCAGCCAAAGCAGTGACATCACCACACCTATAAAACCCCTTGACTTATAGAAGTTCAGTCTCTCGTCCGCCATGCTGTCAGGTGAGTGGGACAGAGCCCATGCTAGCATGGAAGAAGCTCTTTTGTTTGTTGCATCAGACTCAGCTCCCTGGTGGTCTTTGGGGATCACGAAGTCTGGGCATAACATTGTAAACACAAAAGATGGTTTGAGCCAAGACCGGTTTGGCTCATTGGATAGAGAGTTAGCCTGCGGACTGAAAGGTCCCAGGTTCGATTCTGGTCAAGGGCGTGTACTTTGGTTGCGGGCATATCCCCCAGTAGGGAGTGTGCAGGAGGCAGCTGATCGATGATTCTCTCTCATCAATGTTTCTAACTCTATCCTTCTCCCTTCCTCTCTGTTAAAAATCAATAATATATATATATATATATATATATATCTTTTTAAAAAAAGATTGTTTGAAAATTAAATATTTAACTACAAACAGGTTATAGTGGGTAGTCATGTCCTAGGCTGATATTTTCCCTGACAAAGCTCAACTTAGATCTTTACAGAGCCCATTAGCCTTCTTGTCTCTAAGATAACATTATCTGTGAGATGTCTGGTTAACTTGTAACTTCCCTTTTTCTGGAGCTCCTGGGGTGGGCACCAGGACAGATGCCTCAAATTCCTTTATTATGTTAATTGTTCCTGTACCCACCTAAGTATGTGTCCATTTTACTTTTTATCCAATCCCAGTGGTTTCCCAACTTTGCTTTCTCCGACCTCTCTGGTCTGTCACCAGTGGATTTCTTGTAACCCACCTATGTCCCTTTCCTTTGATTGCAATGTATAAATACAGATGTAACCCGCCATTCTCTGGAGAATTATCTCCCTTCATTGAGGTTCTGCTTTCCAGCATATGTTGACAGTTTGGCTCAAATAAACTCACAAAATTCTTTACAGGTTTCAATGTTGTTGTTGTTTTTTTTCGTTAACAGCTTTTCAAATATTACTCTGTCCAATTCTTTCTCTTCTCCTGCTCTGGGTTTCAAGTACACAAGTTAGATATTAACATTATATCCCATATGTCTCTTACGCTGTTTTTTTATTTTTATTTTCTATCCTTTTACCTCTCTGTACTTAATTCTAGGCGGTTTCTTCACAACATTTCAGCTATGTCCTGTCTGCTATAAAATCCATCCACTAAGTCCTTGAATTTATTGGTCAGTTTTAAAATTTATGCTTGATTTTCTTTTATAGTTTTTAATTAAAAAAAAATTTTTTTTACGAATTTATCTTAAACATGTTAGGTTTCCTAGAAGCAGAGCCTGGGCTTGGAATTCTTGTGAAACTGCTATTGTCAGGGGCAGAAATGAAATATTGGGGACCAGCTACAATTATAAGAAATATGAAACAGAATCTTCTCCAGCTCTTACATGACTCATTAATCTCTCTTAAAAAGCAAACAAACAAAACGGGGGGGGGGGGGGGGGGGGAGAAGGAAAAATGAATCATGCTCTGTTAACTGTGATGGTTCTGTTCTGATTAGAGAAAGCACTTTCTAACCTGGCTGAGAGGTGTATGTCCTGGGACTGGGGAGCTAACATCCGAATGCAATGGACAGATTTACAGCCTCAAGGCTGAAACAATCTGGTCCCAGGGGCACCCACTCTTTATAGCCCCCAATCCCTATTGCCTGTAATCTGGTCCTGGGGTGTCCAGAGGCACCTGCTCTGTGCAATCCCCTTCTTCCCACAAGCCTGCATGACTTATAACCTTTAATAATATTATACTGTGCCTACTTTCCCATGCTTGTAATTTCTACTTTCCCACATAATCTTTGTCCTTCTACCAAATATAAGCAGCTGGCTTATGGAGAGAGGTGGAGGAGAAGATTTTTGTGGATCTATCAAAAACTGTGCTCTCCTATACTGCCAGCAGTATTGGAATAAACGCTCATATATGATTCAACCCCGTCTCTGCTTAATTGGCTCAAGCAGTGACAGGCAGCCTGAACCCCTGGTTGTCCGGTTATCCTATTATTGAAGAAAGCTCTTAGATGAAACTCTGACGGGCAGGAGGGAGAAATAGAATAGTGGAGACCAGCTATAGTTGTAAGAAATATTAATCATGCTGTTAAACGTGATGTTTCAGTTCTGATTAAAAAAGCATATTTTGCCGAGACCGGTTTGGCTCAATGGATAGAGCGTTGGCTTGGGGACTGAAAGGTCCCTGGTTCGATTCTGGTCAAGGGCTTGTACCTTGGTTGGGGGCACATCCCCAGTGGGGGGTGTGCAGGAGGCGGCTGATCGATGACTCTCTCTCATCGATGTTTCTAACTCTCTTATCTCTCTCCCTTCCTCTCTGTACAAAATCAATAAAATATTTTTTTTAAAAAAAGCATATTTTAACCTGGATGGGAGTTGTACACCCCAGGGGATCTGGGAGTCAAGCTTGAATGTGGTCCATTCCTATGAAAGAACAGCTTATCATCATGGAAAGGTTAACAATCTAGTTGCAGAAAGGAAGCAATGGGGTGTGCCTGCCCTTTGCCTGTAATCTGTAACTATTACATCCATTTTCATTTATTTTGCCTTATTCCTTTTGTATATTCATTTTTTGTTCCCTTTGCCTACTTCCCCATGTAATTTTTGTCCTTCTACCCCATATAAAAAGCTGGCTTATGGTAGGGGAGAGAGATTTTCATGGATGACCTGCTACTCTGTAAAACATCAATTAAATATATTTTTAAAAAAAGATATATTTGAGGCCTTGGATTTTCATTTTTCTCCAAAGAGGATCTGATTGCCTCTGGCAAGCTGCTGGGAATCTTGAATCACCTTAATCCAGCCAGGGGCTAAGGTGATTCAGAGCTTAGCTTCAGTGCCCCTGAAGCCCATTTTTTCCACTTACTTTGAAGTATACCTTTTTTAAAAAAACTTATTTTTAAAAATAGATTTCAGAGAGGAAAGGAGAGGGAAGAGAGAGAGAAATATCAATGATGAGAGGGAATCATTGATTTGTTGCCTCCTGCAAGCCCCCTACTGGGGATCGAACCCTCAACCAGGGCATGTGCCCTTGACGAGAATCGAACCCAGGACCTTTGGGTCCACAGGCCAACACTCTATCCACTGAGAAAAACCAGCTAGGGCTGATATATAGCTTTTTAGAGTCCCTTGGTAGTCTATATTCTCCCATTTTTTTAGCCTCCCGCTCTGTAAGTCTATCAAAAACTCTGCTTTACTCTATCTGCCTCTCAGTTGTTTCTTTCAGATTTGGTTCACAACTCTGGAAGAAAAGTGTGGCATTCCACCTTTCCTCCTTCGTTTAGATCTTGGCCCTGTAATTCTTCATTACCTGGTGTTATGAGCTTAGTAACGGCCCCCGCCCTCCCTTCATATATTGAAGACCTAACCCTTAGTATCTCAGAATGTGGCTTGCCTTGGAAGACAGGTACTTTAAAAAGTTAATTAAGTTAAAATAAGTCCATTGTGAGAGTTCTAATAAAATCTGGTGTCTGGTGTCTTTATAAGAGGTAATTTGGTATGCATGCTAGATATTTTCTTGTGTCTCTGTGCATAAATAAGATTGACATATATTCCTTTCTGTATATAGGTAATGCATTTGGCATCGAAATCATACTAGGATTAAAAATCAGTTGGGCAGATGTCATTTCCTATTCTCTAAAAATGTATAGGATTTTCATTAAAACTAGAATGTTCTTGGTTAATACTGTCTTAAAGTATGAATTAAATTTGCTATATATTTATATATATATATATAACTGCAGGTGTCAGTTTTGGAAAGCTGGAGAATCTTAAGACAGTATTTTATACAAGCTGCACATTAAAATCACTTGGGACCTTTAAATGATTCCAATTTAATCTTGGTATTAATTAGTAAAAATTTTATTTTAATTTTTAAGAATATATGTTTAAATTGTTGTGGCTTTAATTTTATTTATGTATTATATATTTAATGCATATTTTATTATTACATATAAATGAATATAATTATTGTTACATAAACAAAATTTTAATTAATGGAAATCAAACACACTAAGATGTCACATCTACCCTTTTCTCTCTGTCTCTTAGAAATCACTATTTTCATTATGTTCACATTAATCTAGCCAGTGCTTTTTATTCAAATACAAGTGCATAGTGCATGTTTATACACGTAATACATTGTTATTTCCCACATCATACAAAAAGGGAACATGTTTTAACAGAAGTCACTGTCTGTGCATTTACTCCAAGGTTGCAACTATTCATGGGCCAAGTTATGAGAACATGAACTCTAGAGCATGAATCTTAGTATCTTAAGCAACAACTTAAGATTTGCACCTTTGCCGAAACCAGTTTGGCTCAGTGGATAGAGCGTCGATCTGCGGACTGAAAGGTCCCATGTTCCATTCCGGTCAAGGGCATGTACATTAGTTGCGGGCACATCCCCAGTCGGGGGTGTGCAGGAGCCAGCTGGTCGATGATTCTCTCTCTTTGACGTTTCTGACTCTATCCCTCTCCCTTCCTCTCTGTAAAAAATTAATAAAATATATTTTAAAAAATAGATTTGCACCTTTGTTTTCCTCAAGAGATAATTTTACCTTAGAAGTTATAAAAGCTTGAAAAATCAAATCTGTGTGGCTTGGCCAATGTGGCTCAGTGGTTGAGCATTGACCTATGAACCAGGAGGTCACAGTTCGATTCCCTGTCAGGGCACATGCCCAATGTGTGGCCTTGATCTCCAGTAGAGGGCATCCATCGATGATTCTCATTGATGTTTCTCTCATGCGCTCTCTCTCTCCCTCTCCCCTCCTCTCTGAAATCAATAAAAACATTTTGTTAAAAAGAATCTCATAATCTGCATTATAAAAAATAAATTGAAATAAAGACATATCTTTGTTTACTTTCTGATGCTGTGGCTTTTGACCAAACACACACACACTGATTAAACTACGTTCAGGGATGAGGTGAACATAAATGGCCTCATTCCACATGGCATCGTGCCCTTTCAGCGTCTTTCCACACAGATGAGGTAGGGCTGGGGCTGCAAGGTCATGCCCAACCTGGGCTTCAGATCTGGAACCAGTTCATGGGGGAAATGCAAGTGAAACCGCTGCAGCAATGCTGTAAAAAACAGGAACATTTCCATCCGAGCCAGCTGTTCTCCAAGACAATGTCTTCTTCCTAAACAGAAAAAAAGACATTGTCATCTTTTTAAAATCCACGATATTTACCTAAATGTATGTCTAATACATTACAAAATAGATGATTAAATTCTGGAAATCTGGAATTTAAAAGAAGTTATAAAAGGTTATTCTTATTAAAGAACTTCCTTGCCGAAACCAGTTTGACTCAGTGGAAAGAGCATCGGCCTGCGGACTGAAAGGTCCCGGGTTCGATTCTGGTCAAGGGCATGTACCCTGGTTGCGGGCACATCCCCAGTAGGGGTGTGCAAGAGGCAGCTGATCGATGTTTCTCTCTCATCAATGTTTCTCTCTCATCAATGTTTCTAACTCTCTATTCCTCTCTCTCTTCCTCTCTGTAAAAAAATTAATAAAATATATTAAAAAAGAAAAGAAAAAGAATCTCCTTAAATCCTAAAGAATAGGAATTGGCTTTTCATCTCCCAGAACCTATTTCTTTACCTTCCTGGACTTTTGTAAACTTATTTGTCCCTCCCCCACTTCCCTTGCCGTTGCAACAGCGACTGAGGTATGCTGTGAAAGATCTAATTTGAAGTGTGACATTTTGTTCTACAGAGTCAAGAGAAGGTCATTTCATTTCAGATGACTCAATGTGTACCCTTCCTCAATTAAAGGAAGAGTTTCCAGTCCATCTCCCAAGGGTCTTGTGATCTGTGCACATCTTTACTGCAGAAGCAGTATTTTTAGAAAAGAGATATAATAAACTAGGAGCCAAGAGAGCTCGATTCTTGTTTCCCTTCAAATTATGATTCATTCCCCTCCTTGGATCTGTTCTTCAAGCTACTTGTTACTGACCTTCTAGCTCTTGCAGTTTTGATTAAAAGCCAAAAAAATCCACAGACAAAAATGTTTCAAAAGTCAGAGCTCTCATCAGTTTCTCTCTAGATACTCAATTAATGCTTGTTTATTTTTTAGTAGTTATGGTGTTAATGACCTCTAATTAAACTATTCTTTCCTGTAAGAATCAATGCTATGTTTTCAGAGTTGAATACATAATTCTGCAACAGAGAACTTCGGATTAAGATGTTATACTAATGCAATGGCCAGAGTTCTCAGTGGTTAGAATATAAACCCTCACACTGAAGGGTCATGGGTTCGAAATTTGCATGTATCTGGATTGCAGGTTCCATCACTGCCCCAGTCAAGGTGTGTGTGGGAGGCAACCAACTGATGTGTTTTTCCTCACAGCGATATCAATGTCTCTCTCTCCCCCCTCCATCCCTTCCACTCTCTAAGAAACCAATGGGGGAAAATATATCCTTGGGTGAGGCCTAACAACAGCAAAAATGTTACACTAATGAACCACCATTATACTTGTCCTGAAGTTATGCTCTGTGAACGTTCACTTACCAAGGGAAAACGGAACCAAAGCTTCCTTCTTGGAAAAATATCCACTGCTATCCAGAAATCGCTCTGGATAGAATACTTCTGGGTCTCTCCAGTACTTTTCATCAAAGTGTACAGAATAAAGATTTGTGATTACTGTTGTGCCCTTAGGAATAGAATAACCACGTACAACTGCATCTTCAGAGGTTGCATGGAAAATCCCTAAAGGCACTATATTACAGAATCGTAAAACTTCGTGCAAAACGGCGTCAGTATAAGGCATTTTGCATTTGTCTTCCCAAGAAGGCTTTCCATTGGGTCCCATAATTAAGTCAATCTCTTTCTGTACTTGTCCTGTTAGAGAAGAAAGTGTTCGAGTTATTATGCAATCCTGAAAAAGTGTATCTAAAGTAATTTCCCTTTGTGGTAAACAAGGGATAACCTGTAATAATAAGTAGGGCATGGGCCCACCCAGATGCACATTTTTCATGGTCTGGGAGTTTATTTAAATACTAGGGGCCTGGTGCACGAAATTCGTGCAAGAATAGGCCCTCCAGCTTCACTCCCAGCTGCCCAGGAGCCAGCAAGTCCTGGTTCCCCACCCTACCCACCCAGGAGCCGGCATATCCCCACTCCCTGGCAGCCCAGGAGCGGGCAAGTCCCTGCTTCCCAGCTGCTGGGAAGCCGACAAGTTCCCACTCCTGGCCTCTGGGGAGCCGGCTCTACCTGGCTTCTGTCTGGAGCACCACCCCAGTAGCCTCCCATGGCCTCCCTTCCATTCAGCAGGCTTCACACCATTGGGCACCTGCATATGCAAATTAGCCTCCATCTATGATGGGTTAATTTGCATACTCACTCTGATTGGGTTAGGGTGTAATTGAGTAATGGTTAATTTGCATATTTCTCTTTTATTAAGTAAGAAGATATACCATATATCTTCTACCACCAGTAATCAATGCTTTGGGTAACTTTGTTGTGAATAACACAGTAAGAGTAATAAAAATCAAAACTAGAATTGGAATAACATCTCACTCTCAGCAAGAAAAATAGTAAAGCATAAAACTTGATGGGAACCAGGTGGAGGGAAGCTATGGGGGGAAAAAAGAGGAACAACTGTAATAATCTGAACAATAAAGATTTCGTTCTGGTCCCAGTTCTGCCACTTCCAGTGAATGAGCCTGAGTACGTCAGTCACTCAGCCTCTCTCATTTATAAAATAGGCATAATAGAGCCTGTCTCTAAAATATTTACATGAATTGAGATAATAGATTAGAAAACTTGCCCAGCTAGTGTGACTCAGGGGTTGATTATGGACCTATAAACCAGGTTGTGTGCAGTTCGATTCCCAATCAGGGCATATGCCCGGGTTGTGAAATTGATTCCAAGTGGGGGTCACGCAGGAGGCAGCGGATTAATGTTTCTCTCTCTCTCCCTCTCCCTTCCTCTCTGAGATCAATAAAAAATTTTAAAAAAGGAAATTTTGGCCAAAACCGGTTTGGCTCAGTGGATATAGTGTCGATCTGCGGACTGAAAGGTCCCAGGTTTGGTTCTGGTCAAGGGCATGTACATTGGTTGCAGGCACATTCCTGGTAGGGCGTGTGCAGGAGGCAGCTGGTCAATGTTTCTCTCCCATCGATGTTTCTAGCTCTCTATCCCTCTCCCTTCATCTTTGTAAAAAATCAATTATGTATAAGGAAACTTTGTATAAGTATTAAATATTTTTCTTCTTGGCCAACCCTGCAGGAGTTCCAAAATAAACTGCTTTGGATGTGGCCAAAAACTCTAAAACATGTGTGAGTCCTAAATGTAATTTCAGACCTTGAGATTGAGAGAGTCCTTACCTTGAATGTTAGGATAAAGCGCCATGAAAAGAATTGCCCATCGTAGCACATTGGTTGTAGTTTCAGTTCCAGCAATGATGAGTTCACCCACAGAGAAAATTAGGTTTTCTTTGGAGAAAGTAGATGATGGGTCACTTTTACTCTGATCCATCTCATCTAAATAAGCATCAACAAAATGCTGAGGTAACTGAGGCTTTCTGTTGAGAGAAGCTTTTTCAATAAGCCTGGAGAGAAAATCATAGACCACGGCAGCATTTCTGAACAGCTGTTGATGTTTTCCAAAAGGTAAGAGGCCAATCCATGGGAAGGCATTATACAGGAAGACTGAGGCACTGGCAGCTAGCTCCACATTCTCACTAAATAGCTCAATCATGTGCTGGAAATCAGTGTCTTCGTAAGTGAATCGTTCTCCAAAAATGATCAGATTGGTTATGTTTGAAACAGCATTTGTTATTAACTGTTTGAAGTCAAAAGGTCTGCCTTTGTATGTTTCAACAGCATCAATGAAAAATTTGGTTTCTTCTAAGATTTTAGATTCAAAAGACTTTTGGCCATATCCAAAAGAGCGAAAGCTGTTTACAGCTAACCTTCTGTGATCAGTCCAACCTCGGCCATATTTGGAGTTGAGTAAACCTGGGGGGAAAAAAGGTAAAAAAATTTCTATAATCTCTGTCTCTAACAGCTAAAAAGGCTATGGAGAAAAGAAAGGAAAAAAAAAAAAAAAAGAAAGAAAAAAGATGGTTATTCTTCAAATGATCTTTCTATAAAACTAAAATTAGATCCAGTGGATAACAGCTGTTTCCTGCTACTCATTTGCCACAGAATATCCTATATAATAGAGGTTATATACAAATTGACCCTCACACTCTCGCAAGATGGCTGGCAGGGCAGGGCAGTTGCGGGTGATCAGGCCCACGGGGGAGAGTTAGGCATCAATCAGGCTGGCAGGGGAGCAGTTGGGGGTGATCAGGCTGGCAGGCAGAGTGGTTAAGGGTAACATGTACTTAACTCAACATTTCATTCATAATTTGTACATAGATATACCTATGATAAAAAAAAATGTCATGTTCTCTTGTCTACATGAGATACCTATGTAATCCACATTCCATTAACTTTTGTGCAACAATTTTTAATTTGGAGCTTATTATAAAGTTAGCCATCTATAATGGGGTCTTTAGTGCTGTGCAGTGATCTTATATTTCTGCATTTCATTTTCTTTCTATACTCCCAGATGACTATTCATTCAACAAATATTCATTCAACTTGTATTCATGAAGCACCTGCTATTCTAAATGTCACAGATATATCAGTGAACAAAAAAGGCAACAGATCCCTACTCTCATGGATCTTACATACCCATGAAGAGAGGCAAATGAACACATCAAGTATACAG